ACTATATATATATATATATATATATATGTGTGTGTGTGTGTGGGTGTGTGTGTGTGTTTGTGTGTGTGTTGGATGTGTGCATCAAAAGGGATATAATTTGATATATCATCCATTGCTAAAATTTGCCTAGAAACATTATAACTAAACACTACTACCTATGAAACATCTACTAGAGTACTAGCAAGATTTTCTTTAAAATAAGTTTGCTCTTCTCCCTACATTACAGCTCAACATGAGAAAATCTTCAAAATACAAAACCAAAAAACAGTTAATACAAACAAAATTATACCCAAACAAAGAAAATAAAACTCAAGCTAACAGTAAAGACAAAAAGAAATTAAATGTCAATGTAACCGATAAAACAAATTGGCCAAAACAAACTCCACAACCATGAGGGAGCAGAGAAACCAAAGTGGAAAACAACAGACAGCAACCAAAACAAATTGAACGGAAAAGTTGCAAAAAAGACTAAAAGCCCAACAAGCCAACCAGTTCGCAGGGGGCAACAGGATCCAAACAGAGAATGAAGCAGTGTAACCATGTAATAACCGAGAAGCTGATGAATAAAGCTGCAAAAGAGACTATAAGCCCAACAATCCATCCAGACCGCAAAGGGCAACAGGATCAAACAGGGAAGTAAAGAATTTTGAGCATAGCTAATAACTTCAACATCAAACAACGAAATAGAGATGGAAGAATCCAATAAATCCTGCAAGAAATACAAAGGGACCTACAACAAATAAAATTAAGAGAACCAAAATCATGCACGAATGTATGGGGAATCTACTTTATCCCCAAGCAAAAGTTTCCTTAGCATATTCGAAGGAAGGTGGCCCACAGAGATCTTAGTATGGCCAATTTTAGCCAAAAAGTCAGCAGGTGCATTACCCTTCCTATGGATGAAAGAATATTGAACCTATAGAGAATGAGTATTAAGAAGATGCCAAATTCTGTTTAAAAGATAAAGCAAATTCCATGTCGGGGCATTGGTCTTAGTAAGTATCTTAAAAATAGTCATAGAATCAGTCTCGATGACTATCAAGGCAAATTTGTATATCAGAGCAATCTGGACAGTAAACAGAACAACCCAACCCTCCGCCTCAATAGGGCTCTGTGCATAAACAGGAGATGCAAAATAACATACTAAGTTTCCCAAAGAATCTCTGAAAACACCACCCGCACTGGCAGAGTTAGGAGTCCATCTCCAATTAATATTTGCCTTAACCCAACCATGTGAAGGGGGTTGCCATCTAATTAATAGAGGCCTTCCACCCAAATTCTGATTCTTAGTAGCATAGGGTAGAGCAATACCAAAGCTTCTGACAGCTTGATAGTAATAAGAGATAATGTAAGAAACAATAATGGAAGGGTGAGTGTAAGAATTGGCATGCTTATAATCATTCCTGGCCAACCAGATAAACCATAACACTTCTAAAGGAAAAGATGAAAGTTTGCTATTGAAATCCTTGGAAGCTTTCCAGGCCTTTAAAATTCCATATAAAGTGCCTTCATAAGGCCATCTAACTTGAAAAAAATGTCCCAATCCCAGCCAAACAAAATGGGAAAAGGAACACTCAAAAAAGAGATGTGCAAAGGACTCCACCCCACACTTGCAAAGGTAGCATCTTGAAGCCAATCTCAATCCTTTTAATTTCATAATGTCATCAAGTGGAAGCAGAGAAAAGAAAAAAACTCCATAAGAAGAAGGTGACCAAAGAAAAATATGTTGAGATTTTCATACCTATTTTATACTAATATTGATGATATTGCACTTTAAAGAAGAGTATTTTTGATGTTTTGTTGCAGGTATTTTGAACTATGTTCATTGGAGCAAAAAGATGCAAAAAAGAGCAAATTTGGAGCGAAAAGGACCAAATTATGAAGATTTGAACTAGGGCGTCGGCGGCGAGCCCAACGGCGAGCCCAACGGTGCCGACGACGGGTTTTTCCCGAGAGTTCATAATTAAATATTCTAGAAGGCCGCCGACGACGCCCTCGAGGCCGCCGACGGCGAGATCGACGGTTATCTCAACAGGTGCATTGAATGTGGACGATTTTTGAGGGGATGCTTAGACAACCCTTGGGAAAACTGTTCTACAAGTTTAAAAGAAACTTTTGGCCAAAAAATAAAGAAGTTGGTAGAGGAGAGGAAGTTGAAGAGAGTGTAGAGAGTTTAATTTAGGGTTACATTGTGAGGAATTCTTTGAGAGATTGTAAGAGTGGAGGAAAAGTGAGAGACTTCATCCTCCTTGCCGCTTCGAAGAAGAATTCTGTGTACTGTAAAGAGAGGAAGAGATTCAGAGGAATTTTGAGGAGTTTGCTTTGGGAGGAATTAGAGATAAGTGGTATTTACTTATTGTATATTGTATGACTTTGTTTTATATATAAATTCCGAGTTTTGGCGTATCTTCCCCATGAGTTCTAAGTAGTTTTCTCTGCCTTTCTCCTTGTCTTGAGATTTTGTGAAATGGTGATTTGAAATTGTTGAGCCGTGAGAATGTTGAAGAAGTTGTGATGATCTTTTCACTTCGATCTTAATTTACTTTCAATCTGGCCAATTGATTTGTTAAAATATGTTGAGTTCTACAACTAAAGTGAAGATTACATCCAAGATTCAGGGAGGTCAAAATAT